GTGTGTGTGTGTGTGTGTGTGTGTGTGTGTGTGTGTGTGTGTATATATATATATATATATATATATTATACACGCATACATATATGGCCAAAAATAAATTTTTTAATGACTTAAATAATTTCATTCATATTTTTATATGATATGCTTCTTTTATATTTTATATGCTTCTTTGTGCTTTACAAATTAGCTAATTAGTAAAGGAACGGCAAATGTGTGTGTATTAGGGATGTGCATCTCATGACTCAGGCCGATACGATACGTATCTTGATGCATAGCCAACGATACGATACATTAAAGATACATATGAAGCAGCTACCGATGCGATGCTATATGATTCACCCCTATTACGATGCAGTGCGATCCGTTTTCAATTCGATTCAACACAATGCGATTCGTTTCATAACACAAGTTAACCAAATAAGCCAGGCTTATTTCAGTTATCTGACTCATTGTCAAATGATTTGGTTCCATAAAGCAAATTTAACATAGGCAGGCTAAGTTAAGCTCCTCTTCTGACCAATAGGAACATAATGATATTACCACTGTCTCACATACTATTATTTGACTTTTTTATTTATTTTTATTTTTTACAGTTTCTAGCCATGCAGCCTTTCTCTCTGGTTTTATTACAGCTGTACCTTTTATAGTTTGCAGAACAGATAGCAGAACATTAGAACATTAAAATCTAAAATTGCTCTTTAACCCTTTAAGGTCTGCTTAAGAATAAGCGTGCACAAATTAGTGAGAGAATGTGAATTTAATTTGTCGTTAATGGAACCGCTTTAGCCCCTATTGATTTGTTAGGTTATTTCAAGTCCGGTTTTGGATAGGGGTGCTCTGATCAGGATTTTTGAGGCCGATCACAGAAAGCAGTATCTGCCGATACCGATCACCGATACCGATCTTTTTAAAGCCATTCATAACAAATAATTTATAACTATTTATAGTGATACTCCAATCAGGATTTTTAGACATTTATTCAGGGCCTGAATTTCATTTCATACGCACTGCAAACGGAGTAATGTGAACCTGGCATTATGTGTGTGCGCTGCGAGTGCCAGTGTGCATGAGCGCAGTCTCCAAGAGAGCGCGTGAGCGCTGAATGGTTAAACACGGGCAAGAATTAAAAAGTAATGCAATTTATAAACTTTAGTGACGATGTGACACTGCCTCATTGTGCAAGTGACAATTCCTGTGTAAACTGTGCAGCATGCAGCTCGCTTATAGTGCAGACGCAGTGACGATGTGACACTGCCTCGATTGTACAAGTGACAATTCCTGTCAACTGTGCAGCTCGCTTATAGACTGACACGATGTGTGGTGATTTGAAGACATTTGTGTATTTTGAGAGAGCGCATGCGTGAAATTTCTTCTCACACAATGTTGTCAAATTACTTTATAATTATCTATAATTATTATTTATAAATATCTAATGAAGAAATATGAAGGTGAGTACCTCACCTTCAGCATTATAATGATTTCACCCGCGCCAGCAGCTCGAGATCGGTTTTTTGAGATCGGCCTTTTTAGAGAGCACCGATCAATCATCCCAACGTGATTATCGGCCGATAATGATTGGTAGCCGATCAATCGGAGCACCCCTAATAAATACATTCATGAACTTTAATCCCAGTTTTTCCTCGGGTCTCCGTGGTGTTGTGACGATGCGTCTTATTCACGCAACAGCAGCGGTGATGAGACAGCGCGCTTGAGAAACAGTTTAGAGAGGAGAAATCAATCTACTTATAAAATATTGGTCACAGATTATTGGTCACTTTCTAAATAATAAAAGTATAGCACTCACTAGTAATTATATATAAATAAATCGGTTTTTACCGATGCAACTATGTTAGAAACGATGCATTGCGATATAAATGACAACTTGTAGCCGATGCACACTTTTTAAACCGATGCATCACATCGTTAACTTCTTATGCCGATGCACCGAGCAAATCGGGGAATCTTCCCATCCCTAGTGTGTATATGTATATATACCAATCGGTTCTTCCCTTTTTTACAGACCTTCATGCCGCTCTCCCTGATTTCCTTGATGAGGCTGCCAGGGTTGGTCGTGGCTTCTAGATGGAAAGTGTACTGATTGGCTCCCGCTGCTGCCATGGGCTTCACCCATTGCTCTGGCCTGGACACCATCATATGCATGTCTGTAATAAGGCAAAGTGTAAGCAAAGCCTCCAAACCTACACAGAGCAAACACTGCAATGTTTTACTTATCTGGTTTATCCTAGAGGCAATGTTTATTTAAGAATACAGAAAGAGAGTGAAAATGTGAAAGAACCCAGGGTGTCTACTTGAGAGGATTACTAACAAAACTGTCCCAACGAAGAGGACCAGATTGTGTGCAGCTCAAATGAAACAGAAACAAGAGTAGATGCAATTTTGCAATGACTGGAACTCACCAAAAAAAGGATCAGGTCCGATACAGCGTCGTAAACGTTCCACCATAGGATGTCCAAATGTGATGTTTGGAACAAAATGCCTTCAGCAAATTTAAAGATGAAGGAAAGAGATTGAAAAAGGCAGGGTTAGATATCTTAACTTCTGACCAAAAAAAAAAAAAAAACTCCTGACAAGATTATTGGTCACTTTCTAAATAATAAAAGTATAGCACTCACTAGTAATTATATATAAATAAATCGGTTTTTACCGATGCAACTATGTTAGAAACGATGCATTGCGATATAAATGACAACTTGTAGCCGATGCACACTTTTTAAACCGATGCATCACATCGTTAACTTCTTATGCCGATGCACCGAGCAAATCGGGGAATCTTCCCATCCCTAGTGTGTATATGTATATATACCAATCGGTTCTTCCCTTTTTTACAGACCTTCATGCCGCTCTCCCTGATTTCCTTGATGAGGCTGCCAGGGTTGGTCGTGGCTTCTAGATGGAAAGTGTACTGATTGGCTCCCGCTGCTGCCATGGGCTTCACCCATTGCTCTGGCCTGGACACCATCATATGCATGTCTGTAATAAGGCAAAGTGTAAGCAAA